ACTCATTGTGTAGACCATGCTGGTTTTGAACTCAGATCCTCCTGCCTTTGCCTCCCGAGTGCTAGGACTAAAGGTGTGGACCACCAAGCCTAGCCTTCATAGAAAACTTAAGAGAAAGAATAAAAGGGTACATAAAAATCACTCATAGCTCATAATCCACTATTTACAATCAACTACTTAAACTTTCCTAGACATTTATTGAACTCTTAAGTGCTAGGCATTTTTGAAAATTTGCTGCATGTTGTTTGTATCTGGCCTGTTTTCATTTAATGTTACTTTCCAGACAAAACTCAGTTTGTTAAACTTTTATTTGTAAAAGCCCTGTACCCTGTTCATAACTTCATAGTCGTTTTCAGTAATTTTTAGTCTTTTTCCTCCCCTTTTGGTCATTGAAGTCTGTCTTCAAATGGAGTATATTTAGTAGTTACTTTTGTGTTACTGGGACCAGAATCATGATTGAAACAAACTTAAGGGAGGAAAGGCTTATTCTGGCTTCTTCTTTCAGAGGACAGTCTGTCAAGGTAAGGAAGGCATGGCAGCAGACTGGAGGCAGAGAAAGCAGACTGGAACCAGTGGCTAATAAAAGCTTCAGAGGCCAGTGTATAATGACCTACTTCTGGCAGGCAGTCCATTTCCTAAAAGCTCCCTCCATAGCCTTCAAAACAGAGCCACAAACTGGGGACCTAGCATACAGAGCATGAATTTGTGGCAGCAGATCGGATTCAAACCATAACAACAGGTGTACAGAATACAGATGTCCTGCATGGATGAATGGGGAATGATTTGATTGAAAGGGCATAATGGCCTGGGATACCACCTTGACGTGGTTTTCTCCAAAGAGAGAAATGTTATCCTTGTAGTTAATCTCTTTGTTATATTTGATCAGAGAAGGTAGTTTGCATGATTCTTTCGGTTAGGAATTTCTGGTTAATCCTCCTTTCATGTTCCATAATTGTTCAAATATGAATCTACCATTTATCTGTTTTGAACCCTGGGTTTTGAGGGGACTTTAGTCTGCAGCCATGACTAGATTTATCTATTTTCTCTACTGGCTTTTGATTTCTATATTTGAAGCTCCTTTGTCTGTTACATTACAGAATTTTTGTAGTTTCTGTTAATATGGAACCTTATAGTAAGTTCTATTAATGAATTTATAAGTCATTTTATCTTGAGTTGTAGTTGTATAATGTTATTTCTGCCACATTGTCTCTTTTTCCTTATTTGACTGTATTTCTGAATTTTGTTTTAGGTATGTTTTTTATAAATCTGTCTACACTAGCATCTACTCAGGCTTAAATGAATTTAACTGTGTTCTCTTTGTATTCATATTCCTATGTTTTCCCACCCCCATTTGCTCTTTCTCCCACTCCCCTTCTTTCCCCTTCAGCAGCAGCCCCAGCCCTTCCCTGTGTGTTCAGTAGCATTTCCTGTCCAGCCTGCAGGGAGAGCCTTTTGCACAAGACTTCTAAATTTCTCATTGCATTGGTATCCTCTTTAGGATGAATGAAACAGCGCTACTCAAATCTCATTTCTGACTTAAAGCTGTATCAGATCCTCTTCAGAAATGAGGAAATGAATTTGACGGGTGAAATACCTGCAGCAGACCTGTTTATCTACTTAGGAAGTTTGAGGGCCCCAGTTTGACGTCACATACCTCTGTACCTCATGCTGAGTAAATATGTAATTTAAATTTGTCTTCCATTTACCCTTTCCTCTCTAATGTGTGGAGTATGTTCATACACTGCTAGAGGAATATCTGCACTGACCTTTAAGTAACTGTAATCAGTTCAAGAGAAAGCTGCTCTGCCATTATTCATTCAGCTCTTCGGCTTTTCATGGAGAAAGCCTCTGGTTCTTCCCCTGCCTCTGACACATGCTAACCCCCTCCCTTTCTTAAACAATATCCTGGGTTCCCGTTCACTGTCTTGGTCACCAGTGTTTAGCTATACTTTAGTACTATTGCTTTCTTTTCCTTCTAATTTTTTTGTCATCTTGCATTTTTATATATTAACTTGATTTTCCGCTGAAAGTAGTGGTTAAATTATTTCTTGAAAAATTGCTGCTCTGGGTCCATGCTGCCTGCCCATCATCATCATCATCATCATCATCACCACCACCACCACCACCCCGACCCCCCATGCTGCTGCCATGGGAGTGCAGGTGGACACTATCTTACCCATAGATGGGCACATCTTCCTGAAGTGGCCAGACCTGTATGGTGCAACTAACACCGGGATGCTTGAAAATGGAAAGAAATTTGATTCCTTCAGGAACAGAAACAAGCAGGAGGTAGTTTGAGGCTGGGAAGGACAGGTGACCCAGATGAATATGTGTCAGAGAGCCAAGCTGATAAGGTCCCCAGACTATGCCTATGAAGCCACTAGGTACCCTGACATCCCACTACACACCACACTGAGTGCTTCTCCAACTGGAATGATAGAAGTGGTCTCCTCCCTCAGACCCCTGCACACAGATCTGCCACAGAGGGATCTGGGACCACCAGACATGTGCACATGAATCCACATGGAGCTTTTCATGATGTCCCACTCCTCTTTTTATAGACATCTGTCCAAATGAATGTGTTTTGACACTCAGCTTTGTTTTAGACACCTCTGTGCCCTTATTTCTTCTATGCGTGTTGACCCAAATGATATGCCATAAACCTCATTACTCCTTTTGTTTTGGGGTGAAGATTCAATTTCGGTCTTTTGGATCTAGGCTTCCGATTGAGTATATTGTCAAGTACTAACAGCACAAGTGATAGTTTAACTTAAGAGTAGGAATTGGGGGCTGGAGAGATGGCTCAGCAGTTAAGAGCACTGACTGCTCTAAACCTCTTGCAGAGGACCCAGGTTCGACTCCCAGCACCCACAGGGCAGCTCTGAACAGTTCTTAACTCCAGTTCCAGGGGATCCGACAGCCTCTTCTGACCTCTGTAGGCATTGCATGACACGGGTGCACTCACATGCATGCAGGCAATAATACACTTATACATGTAAAATAAAAAAATATTAAAAAAAAGAATAGGACTTGGTGTTGGGTTGGGTTTGCAAGTATTTTTCTTTTATTGTATGAAGTTTTATTATATATTAAGACACTCTTGCTGCTGTACTGTAAAGCCATAGCAGATTTGAGCTGCTGCTGAGGTCTGGATTGTTCTCTAGGATGAGGAAGGTCGTTGTATTAAATTCAAAGCCTTGCCCAAACTGAAATTAAGAGGGGGGAGCCTTGCCTTTGCCAGCCCCTCTTAGCCTCCCCCAAACCCTCTGCCTTTTAAAGAAGGTCCCATCCCACTGTGATGTTGGACACTGCAGGTATCTGTCCCTGGGCCAGCAGGGACCTCTGAACCCTTCTTTGTGACCTGGCTTAATTTTTTTTTCCATCCTATGGTTTTTCTAATGAATTTTGAGGACTTTTGTAATCTTGTGACTATCCAAGATACACTTCCTAAATTTTAAGAACTTTAATTAAAAGTTTGAATTGAAGGTGCTTTTTGTAGACTAACCACCCAATGGATGCTTGGTCATCATGACAAATCGTTGCGTGTTCTCTAAGGAAATGATACTGGTCATCTTAGCTTCAGCATCTCCTAAGTTTTGATGCTTGATTCTCTGCTGATCTTGGCTTCCTAGATTTTCTTCCCTCAGTCCCTTCTTACCGTTTGCTGTCCTGTGTAGTGATTTATGCTTTTGTTCTCCTCTCCCCACATCTGAGTTTCAGTTATTATTGCAATGAAAGTACTTTATGCTGGCTTTTTGATAAAAGAAAAAGTGAAGCCAGATGTGATGACACACCTTTGATCCTAGCAGAGGCAGATTGCTGAGATCAAGGCCAGCCAGGTCTAGCTATATAGTTATGAGTTCAGGTCAGCTGGGGCTACAGGGAGACCCTGTCTCAAAAAACAGAACAACAACAAAAAGAAAGATTGAATGAATTTTAAAGACAAATATTAAACACAGGGTAAATGGGTGCCATGGAATTGGGGTTTGTTGTGTGTAGAGGTTGAGTGTGCCCTACTGAGAAGGTAGTGTGGGCTGAATGAGATCTAGCGTCACTTGGCTAGCATTCTCAAGGCTTTCCAGTTATTCCTGCTTTGTCTGCAGCACTGATCAATAGAGCAAGATCTAGCTAAGTGCTTACTGAGCGTGTGCTTTGTATAGAAAACTGTGTACTGAGGATACAGTCTGGTCTGCACTGTAGGTAGGGAGGATGGTGTGTACCTGAGATGCAGTAGGTGTGAATATGAGGACGTGTTCCAATGGAGGGAGCAGAGGTCATCATTGTCTCCGGGTGGGAGGCCTTGGTGTGCACTTCTGTTTCCATCAGATACCACTTCCTTTTTGAATCTAAGTCTGCATCAGTTTTGGAGAAAAAGGAGTGTTTCTTTATTGGTGCTACTCTGAGAAACACTGTATCCAAAAGGCAGTGCTGTGTTGGTCCTCAGAAGACAAGAGTGACTACCAGAGTTCTGGTCCTAGCATACCTAATGCTTTTTGAGTACCAGCCTGTTGCTTGCTTGCTGCTGCTGCTGCTGCTCCTCTTCATCCTCCTCCTCCTCTTCCTTCTCCCCCTCCTCCTCCTCCTCCTCCTCTTTCTTATTCTTCACTTTTTCTTTTCTTTTTAATGTGTGAGTATTTTGCCTGCATGTATGAAAGTGCATCTGTGTCTTGGAATGCTCACAGATGCCAGAAGAGGGAACTGGAGTTATGGACAGTTGTTAGCTGCCAGGTGGGTGCTGGGAACTGAACTTGGGTCTCTGCAAGAGTAACCAGTGCTCTTAACCACTGAGTTGTCTCTCCAGCCCTTGAGTACCAAATTCTTCATCTTTGAAAAGCAGTGTCCTGCTTCATAAGGCAGCGTATGTGTGAGCTGTCTGCTTATATATACTTGTATATCAACAGTATTCCTGTTTACTCTATATTTAATATACTGATGGGTTGATTTGTGAAGGTATTTGGATGGTTACTTATTTTCTGTTTTTTTTTTTTCTTTTTCTCTAGGTCTTGATGCCGAACTTTACTATGTGAGAAATGACCTTATTAGTCACTATGCTCTATCCTTTAACCTGCTAGTACCCAGTGAGAAAAATTTCCTACACTTCACTTGGCATGCAAAGTCCAAGGTAAGAGAACTGTTGGCAAACATGACAGGGTCACTCAGTCCTCCAGAGGCAAGGGGCTGTCATCTCCACAGAAGGGTCAGTGGTGATATGCCATACAGAGCTGGGTCTTTTCAGGTTTCTATTGTAGGTCTTGAGCCTATTCCTCTAAAACCTGACAAATTTAGGGGACCACCATTTAGGTTATTTGCACATCACAGAGCATTTGTATCCTTTTAGACTTTTCAAATGGGATCTGGATCTAGCTTGGGAAGAGGACAGTTAAATCTGATATTGACCCTGTTGGTATGAGGAGGCGATGTGGGTACATGGCAGAACAGCTGAGCCATGTCTTCCAGATGTGTTTGGTGACATGGGTGTAGTTTTCCTGTTCCTGGTGCAACCAAGGTGTAGCATACACATCCATCCATGTGCATTGTGGTGAGGCTCCTTAACTTTAGAGGCTAACCTAAGGGCTTAGGGATTTCTTGCCTGGTTTATTTGTTGCTAAATTCTTCACATCTTTGTCTGCCTGGGTTCCTCAAATACAAGATTTCCCCTATAGGGGCTGACCACCTCCCACCCTAAACAACTTCAGTCTACTTTATATAAAAAGCTTCAAGTATGGTCTTATTTGAGAAGGAAAAATAGTTGTGTTACTAAAAATAAAGAATACTTACTTTGTTTTTAAGTATCATAAAGTGATACCTATTCAGATACTTGTTTCAAGTTGAATTTTGCTTCATTTTTATCTAGATTTTTCTTTAATTTTTTTTCTACTTAGAAAACAATAAAGATTATTGAGAATATTCATTTATTACAGAAATGTTTCAAGAATTGTGAGACTTTGTAATTCTACACCTAGAAGAATCATTACTGTAGTTTGGTATAATTTCTCCAAGATCCCTTTTTTCTCTTTTAAGCAAAAAGGATTTTATGATGCATACGTTATTTGATATTTTTGCCTTACCTAATAATAATATATCTTGATATCTTTCCATTTCTCTGCTTTACTCATTTTCTTTAATGATACTATATCTATATGATATGTCTCTGTTTATGCTACAAAATGGGTAGTGTATCACCATTTATGAACTGCCTCGTTGCTGGATACATAGATTTTCATTAGCATTTTACTGTTTAATGTTTCCAGCAGGCATAGTAGCAAGTGCCTATAATCCCAGCACACAAGAGGCTAAGGCAGGAGGAAAGTGATTTTAAGGCTAGTTTGGGCTACTTAGGAGTGGGCTGTCATTTTCCAGGGTAACCTTGGCTACATAGCAAGACTCTGTGTCTAAAAATAAACAAGCAGCCGGGCGTGGTGGCGCATGCCTTTAATCCTAGCACTCCAGAGGCAGAGGCAGGCGGATCTCTGTGAGTTCAAGGCCAGCCTGGTCTACATAGTGAGTTCCAGGATAGGTGGGGCTACAGGGAGACCCTGTCTCAAAAAGACAAAAAAAAAAAAACAACCCCCCCAAGCAAATATGCTTCCCTTCATTGTCATGCAGTTTCTTTCATTTCATTTGACAGACAAAATGTAGTGTAAAAGGATGATTCAAAACATTTGGTAGCAGGACTGGAGAGATGACTCGGTGGTTAAGAATACTTGCTGCTCTTCCACAAGCCCTGAGTTTGGTTCCCAGCACCCACTATTGTGTGACTCATAACTGCCTGTCACTCCAGCTCCAGGGGATCCAGTGCCTTCTTCTGGCCTCCAAGAGTATAAATGTGGTACACACACGCACACACACACACACACACACACACACACACACACACACACACTGAAATTAAAAGAAAAAATTAAAAAAGTTGGTAGCATGTATCTTTTGATATTTCTACCATTCTGTTTAAAAATTTTTTATTATAACTTTTTTCTACCTGCTGTTGATGAATATAGAAATGCAGAAAAAAGCCTGTGTGTTTATAAATACATTAAGAACATCTTTGTCCAAAAAGGTTTGTGCACTTACACCATTATTTCTGGACAGTAAATGATCAGTATTGATGCAAAAGGCTGGGTCAGAGTGTGTATGTTTAAGATTTTGATAGATATTCCCAAATTGTTTCTCCCTTTCTTCTCCCAAAATGGTACCAGTGAATCAGCATTCTATATAAGGCTGCTTTTTTTTTTTTATGATTACTTCTTTTTTAGGAATTCCTTTTACATAGGAGTATATCTGTTTTGTTTTGTTTTTTAGAAAAAGCATTTCATTATAGCTTTAACATACTCAATAACAGTTTCTAGAGCACAGATACATCTCTTTCAAAAGTGGCTATAAAATTTTTAGGTTTGCTGTTGAAATAATACAGTTATACAATATTGAACTCAGTATAAGCCCTGGAAGACATAACATTGAATGAGTTTTTAACCTTAAAAAAGATCTCCATTTCATTTTAAAATATACTGTTTCTTACAGAAAGACTCATTGTTTTCATTAATAACGCTTAGATGGTGGCACACGTGTCTCTAATCTGTATGTATCTGATTATCACTAGTTGTGGTCGGTTGCACTCAGATCCTCGGCACCTGTCTGATTACTTCTTAACACTAAATATTTAAAAAATTTAAATGTTTGTCATTCAGTAAGTAAAGGTGATCACATAAGCATACGTGTATTCATGTTATGCATGCTTACACCTGTTACAGGAATGTTACATGCTCATTGAAATACAGCTGTAGGAATGATGTGAGCATAGTTGCATTAGCTGAGTTCTTGGGTAAGCCTGTGCTTCTTACAGTTTGGAGCATCTCAGCTATTCAACACTATTGCCTTGGGGCTCTTTCTTTAGGGAGAAAACTGCAGACAGGTCAGTAAAGAAAATTCATGTATAATAATTAAAAATGTGTAGTGAATGATAGCTTTAATATGTAAATACCAAAATAAATAGTCATTTTCAGTGGATGGACACCTGCACTCAAAGGAAACTAGACTAATGCACTTTTAGTATTGTTACATAAAATTGTGTTACTGACTTAAGGTACTTTTTCCTTTGTTTGTTTTTGGAAACAGGGTTTCCCTGTAGCCCCAGCTGGCCTGGAACTTGACCAGGCTGGCCTCTGTCTCACAGATCTGCCTGCCCTTGCCTCCCAAGTACTGGGATTAAAGGTATGTGCCACCATGCCTAGTTTAAGGTAACTTTTACTTTTGATATAATTTCAAACAGAAGTTACAAGACTAGTATAATACAAAGAAGTCTTTTTTTTTTTTTAATAGGAGTCTTCTGCATTCTAGGCAGGCAGTCTACACTTGAGCTACATTATCAGCCTTGAAAATTTTTTATATTTATTTATTATGAATATGTATGTGTATGAGAACACATGTATCATGGCGTACATGTGGAGGACAGAAGACAACTTGTAGGAATCAATTCTGTCTTCCTAACAAGTGGGTTCCTGGCTTGAATTCAGATCATCAGATTTGGCAGCAAGTACCTTTACCCCTGAGCCATCTTGCTGGCCCTCCAGCCTTTTAAAGGCACCTTTTTTTTTTTGTCTTTTTGAAGCAGGGTCTCCCTGTCACGCCAGCTGTCCTGAAACTCACTATGTAGACCAGGCCTTGAGCTCACAGAGATCTGCCTGCCTCTGCCTCCCAAGTGCTGAGACTACAGGTTTGTGCCACCACACCCGGCCTAAAGGCACCTTTTTAAAAATATTTTGCCACAGGGTCTCACTGAGTCACCCAAGTTGTCCTTAAACTCACTCTGTAGCCTAGGTAAGCTTTGCATTGGTGATCTTCCTGCTTCAGCCTCCAGTGTAGCTGGGATTAGAAGCCTGAGCCACTAGGCCCAACATGAGAACTTTTTAAAAAAAGTTTTATGTATGTATTTCTGTGTCTGTATGTGTCTGCATGAGTGTATGCGTGTGTGTATGTATGTGTGTGTGTGTGTTTCAGAAGAGGGTGTCAAATTCTTCAGAACTGAGTTACAGGCATTTGCAAGATGCAATGTAATACGGGTACTGGGATCCAGACATAAACTGCTGAGTCATCTTTCTAGCTCAGGGAAGCAATCATTGTGTTCCTTTACTCCTAAGTACTTCAGTCTGCATTGTCTAAGAACAGAGGTGTTATTTATATAACCAAAGTCAGGAAATTTAGCATGGTTATTGTATTGTAAGATAATTCACAGTATTCATAGTTTACCAGCTCTTCTAAAAATCTTTATAATTAATTTTTTACTAGCTGTCTTAGTTTGTTCTTCATTGCTGTGACAAAATACTCTGACCACTACCAACTTGGGGAGGAAAGGGTTTATTTATTTGTCTTACATCTCCCAGGTCGCATGCAGTTCATCAGGGAGCCCAAGGTAGGAACTCAGGGCAGGAACCTGGAGGCAGGAGCTGGAGCACAGGCCATGGAGGAACGCTGCTTACTGGCTTGCTCCCCTGGCTCCTGCTCAGCCTGCTTTCTTATGCAACACAGGCCCACCTACCCAGGGGTGGCACCACCCACAGTGGGCTGGGCCCTCCCACATCACTCATCAAGAAGATGCCCTTCAGACATGGCCACAGGCCAGTCCAATAGAGGCAATTTCCCGATTGAGGCTCCCTCAACCCAGGTGTGTCAAGTTGACACAAAAGCTATCCAGCACACTAGCTGATGTCTCTTTAGTTTGTGTTAATCTGAACAATTTTGCTGGCTTTTTTTGTGTTTCAGGCTATGATGTTGGTAGTGGGGATTTGGGTTTAGGTGCCTTGCCACGGAAGAAAGTAGATGGAGGGGTCTTCTATGAATGTATATGCTGAAGGGAAGCACTGGAGGGGCCATGTACCCCAGTTGTTCTTTCATACTATTTACATTATCTTACAGAGCACATGTTAAAGCTACACCCTTATTTGTATACATTTGGGTTTCTGCTTAATGATACTGCAGTTCCTAATTCTAGTTCTTATGTTATAGTATCCAGTGACTTTTAGCACAATTGTTCAATTGAAGTTTATTTTAAAAGTTAATCACACAAATAGGCAATATATGGACATGGTACAAATTCGTAAGGCACGTGGATATACAGTGAAAAAGAAA